TCAGACTCCTGTAGAGTGGAGCGAGCTCTGAGGCCACCACTGGCCCCGGACACTGGGTGAGAACTTATTGCCCCTGAGCAAAGGGAGCCCAGTGCACTTCCTTACTTTCCTGGACAAGAAGGCCTTCCAGGCTCTCCTCTTACTCTCCCTCCTCCAACTTTGGATCATCACTGTGTCCAAGGCGCCTGGTTCCTTTCACTGGAGAATGGTATTAGAGATCAAGGTCTGGGCACTGGTGTGCTCACTGCTACTGTGGTGTCACTGCCTCTAGGCCCTCTCAGTGGACAAAGCTAAGAAATAGATGGAGTACACACTCACATGTACACACACAGGTGCACACCCTCACTTAGAAAGCACAGGTTCACGCTGGTATCTCCAGTTCCTCTCCAGAGCCACAGAGCTTGTTCCAGTCTGCTCCCTTTCCTCGTCTGTAACCCTCTTCTTCAACAGTGAGAAACTTGGCTCCCATTAGCCACAATACCTGTATATTCTTAGTCCTAGAAGGTGTACCTGACCCAAGCCATGGTGTTTTCAATCACTTCATATGCATACAAAGCTGGAGCATGAATAAGGAAGCCCGAAGAACTGATGTATTTGAATTACGGTGCTGGCAAAGAATACGGAATATTCTGTGGACTAACAGAAGAAGTAACAAGTCTGTCTAGGAAGAAGTACCGCCAGAATGCTTCTTAGAAGCGAGGATGGCGTGACTTCATCTCACATACTTTGGGCATATTATCAGGAGGGACCAGTCCCTGGAGAAAGACATCATGTTTGGTAAAGTAGAGGGTCAGCGAAAAAGAGGAAGACTCTCAATGAGATGGATTGACACATCGGCTGTAACAATGGGCTCAAACATAGCAAAGATTGTGAGGATGACACAGGACAGGCCACCGTTTCATTCTGCTATACATCTAGTCACTATGAGTTGCAGGCTAACAGTTCCTAACAACGACAGAATACACAGAGAGTAGCAGCAGAATTGCTACCAGTGCCTGTGTGGAAAAGAAGTCACTAGTTAGAGTTTAGTGAGGCATTACGTGGGTCCGTGGGAGGATTCTCTTTGCAAGCAAGAGACCCGGGTTTGATTCCCAGCCAATCCACCTCATATGCAGCCACCACCCATCTGTCAGTGGAGGCTTGCATGTTGCTATGATGCTGAACAGGTATCAGTAGAGCTTCCAGACTAAGATGAACCAAGAAGAAAGGCCTGGTGATCTACTTCCAAAAAGCAGCCAATGAAAACTCTATGGGTCATAAAGGTTTGATCTGCAACCGATTGTGGGGATGATGCAGGACCGGGCAGCATTCCATTGTGTGTGGGGTGGCCAAGAGTTAGGACTCCACAGCGGCTCACAAGAATGACTTAAAAAAAGAAAAGAAAAAAAAAAAACCCATCCCGTCAATTCTGACTCATAAAGACCCTATAGGACACAGTAGAACTGCCTCATAGAGTTTCCAAGGCTGTAATCTTTATAGAAGCAGGCTGCCACATCTTTCATCCACAGAGCAGCTGGTGGATTTGAACAGCCGACCTTTCCGTTAGCAGCCAAACCCTTAACCGCTGTGCCAGCAGGGCTCCCTCAACAACTAGAGTTGATTATTTGTTTAGAGCAACAGCTGTGCTCTAGGGCTGCCTGCAAGTCCCCGAGGCACTTTCAGGGTCCGTGAGGTCAAAACTATTATCATAATAACACCATGACATCTCTTACCTTTTTCACTCACCCGGCATATTCATAGGTAGTTTGGAAATGCTATTAAAGTACTCCTCCCTTTTCCAACTACATATCTGGGTGAGGCTGGCCTTTCTTCACAGACTTCAACTAAGACAGCATAGTTTATCAGACTACGTGCAGAAGTGGATACCAGAACCCAGCTGGTTCTTCTATTAAGCTAGACATTAAGGAGATTTGCAAAAATGTCAAACAATGCCACGGGTCTCGCTAAGGTTTTTTATTTTGGGAAATATAGTTATTTTTCTTAAAATATTTATACAGTTTATGTTAACATGTAATAGGTTTACTTTTGTTATTTTAAGCAAATCAGTAAGTATTCTAAACATCATGATTTCTAATGTAGTAAGTATTGATAGCTCTAATGCAAATAAACAAAAATTCTTTGGGGTCTTCAGTGACTTTTAAGAGCATAAAGGGGTCCTGAGGTCAAAAAGTTCGAAAACTACTGATCTAGAGTTCCTGTTTGTCTTAGCCTGAGGACAGAGTCTAAATTCTGCATGCATAGCTAACTTCTGCATGGTTGTGTTACTGATCTGGAATACAGGTTCGGTGGATTGGTTTGGTTTGTATCCCATCGTTGTTGGTTCTATTTACTTCCGATCTCTTTTTAAACATAAGAAACATTAACATGGTTCCAAAATGAGAATGTGTGTGTGTATTTTTGAGCTTAAAAGCTCCCTGGGGACTAATGGACCACAGCTACCACGGCCTCCACCAGACTGAGTCCAGTACACCTAGATGGTGCCCAGCTCCCACCACTGACTGCTCTCACCGGGATCACAACAGATGGTCCTGGATAGAGCTGGAGAAGGATGTAGAACAAAATTCTAACACACACAAAAAAGACCAGATTTACTGGCCTGACAGAGATTGGAGAAACCCCGAGAGTATGGCCCCCGGACACCCTTTTAGCTCAGTAATGAAGTCACTCCCAAGGTTCACCGTTCAGCCAAGTGTTAGACAGCCCCATAAAACAAAATGGGACTAGTGAGGCACAGCAGTACAGGGACAAGGACTAGAAGCCAGGAGGAGACAAGAAAGCTGGTAATAGGGAACCCAAGGTTGAAAAAGGATAGTCGTGGAGTTGTTAACCATTGTCATAGGGCAATATGTGTCCTAACTGTTTAATGAGAAACTATTTTGTTCTGTAAACCTTCATCTAAAGTACAAAAAAAAAAAAGAATTATCTTTGTGAGATCAAATTGACAGCAGCAACTCAAAACATTTGATGGGAAGCCTAGGGGACAGTGAGTTGAAGACAATGGTGATGGAATAATTTGGAAAAGGCTAGTGAGAATAGCAGCACAACTGGAAGAATGTAATCAATGTCACTGAATTGTACATGTAGACATTTTTGAAATGGTGTATCTTTGGCTAGGTATATTTCACCAAAAAGAAAAAAGTGTCCTCCAAGATTGAGAAGGGAGAGTGTTGACATGTCATGGGGTTGTTAACCAATGTCATAAAACAATATGTGTACTGACTGTTTAATGAGAAACTATTTGTTCTGTAAACCTTCACCTACAGTACAATAAAAAAAAAATTAAAAAAAAAAAAAGCTCCCTGGGCGCTTCTGATGAGGGCTGAGCACTACTGAGCAAGACGGTCTACTGCCCTTCCCATTTCAGAGATTCCGTGACGACGAATTCTATAAATATTTTCCTGACATTGAGCGGTGATAAGCTTCAGAACATGTTGGCAATGACTTTCCACATGCCAGCCATCCTGCTAACTCTGCCTACGGGAGGGGAAAGGCACTGGGACCCCAACCAGCCCTTTCTTCCCAGGGCCCTGCAGCAGAGGGCTCAGGCTTGTTGGGGCGGGCGGTCTGTGCACTGCCTGTCCCTGGTCCACAGACCTGCCACCCCGCAGCCAGCTGAAGCCTGGTATGGGTAAAAGTGAGGACGAGTGTCCTTTCTTGGGCTCTTCGCTGACTCCCTGAACTCATCGCCTCAGACGTGGTTCTATCCAAAAAAGGGGGAGGGAGGTTGGCTTCAGGATGGCGTCTAGGGCAGTGTGGCTGGCACGGCTGCTCCTGTAGAGGTGACAGACTGTGGTGGGATAGAGGTGGCTGTGTTTGACTGGCTGGCTGAAACCCGGAGCCCCAAAGGCCAGAGATGCCCCCAGCCAGTAACCCCTGGCAGTAGTCCCAGCCCACATCCAATACTTCAGCCAACATCAGGCCGTGAATAGGCTGGCCATTCAGGTCATACCCTGCCCAGAAAGGTGTGACACCTGGCTTTAATTCAGAGACTGTGCCCAGAGGCCTGGCCCACATATGGTCCAGGAGCACAGAGGAGCTCAGTCGTCCCACGAGGGGACTCTGTGAAAACGGGAGAGGAGAGGCGCAAGGCAGAGGGTGGGAGGGAGGGCGGGGAGGACGGGAAGGGAAGACAAAGGAAGGGGTGCGGCCGGCTGGAGCAGAGGGAGGGGAGTGAGCTCCACTCTGGAGGAGGCCCTGAGCTCAGCAGTCTTCCAGAGGAGCCGGAGGAGTGCTTCGGACAGGGGGAGGCCAAGTCAGCTCCTGCGGGATCCACTCTGGGCCGGGGGCCGCTGGTTCAAGAGCCTTTTCCCCAGCCTCCTGCCCCTCTCAGGAGCTGAGTGTCGGAGTGTGGTGGCAGGAGGAGCCGAAGCCTCACGGGTGGGCGCCACCCTCGTTCCGGGCAGAAATAAGAGGCTCAGGGCTCCTGCTCCCAACCAGCTCCACCACTGGCCAGCTCCGCGGCTCCTGCCTGGTGAGTACTGCGTGCACCTCTGCCCCCAAGACACACAGAACCAGAGCGGGCCCCTCCAGATCAGAAACCTGCAACACCCCAGAGGGAAGGAACCCCAGCCGGGAAGTGGCCACCGCCAAGCTTTACTCTGGAGTCCTTGGGGACAGCGCGCTGCCCGCTTTGCTCCGAGGTTGCCGTGCAGCCAGCAATCTGTGCGGTTTGCAGCCTCAGCAGCGGGGCACAGAGCCACGTGTAACTCCTTGAGACCACCCCCTGGAGATGCCGAGTGTGACTGTAACCGTGGTCCTTGGCAAAGGAGGTGGCATTCTTGTCCTCGCAGCCACAGTGTGCCAGGGATCCTTTCTGTTCGTGCAGAGCCGTTCGCTAGCCTGATGCAAAGTGTCTGGGGTGAGGAGAGCTGTGGGGCGCACCGAGGGGAATGAGGGCGCATTGGGGTGTCCTCAGAGCACCTCGCCCCAACCTGCCACCTGGCATCCTCCTGGAGTCTGTGCTGCCTGAGGGTTCATGGGCTGGGTGCGTAGGGAGCATCTGGGGACGGGTGGGGCCAGCGTGTGAGGCTTCCTCTCTGCTCACAGGCGATGGGGACTCCTACCACCTCCTGGGCCCTCTTCCTGGCGACGCTGGGCTCCGTGGCCGGCCTGCCTCTTGGGGGAGAGCCCAGCTGCACTGCCCAGCACTTGGCCAGATATAGCATCACCTTCACAGGAAAGTGGAGCCAGACAGCCTTCCCCAAGCAGTACCCCCTGTTCCGGCCCCCTGCACAGTGGTCTACCTTGCTGGGTAAGTGAGTACTCCCTTCCTCCCCAGGCTGGGGCGTCAGAGCCCCCGAGCCCACAGGGAGGGTCACAGAGCCGGCTTCCTTCTCTTACACACACTCAGTCAGCCCTGACAGCTGTACAGAACTTCACAGTTTGGAGGGCACGCTCACAATCCATTTGCTTCGATGCAAGCAATGTTTGCTCAGCCCTACGGTGTGCCAGTGATCCCGGGCCCGGCCCGGCGATGTGGTGAGGGGCAGGCGGGTGGTCTTGGGGAAAGCCAGTCAGCCAGGCCAAGGGGCCCAGGGAGGAACGGCAGAAGATCTCGCCATCCGTGCACGGTGAGGGGCAGTGCTCCCTGCAGCCCTCACGGAGGGGGTGGGGGGGAAGCAGTCCTCAGCCAGAGGGCAAGGGGGGGCGCAACCGTCACTCAGAGGGCAGGGGGGGCGCAGCCCTCACTCAGAGGGCAAGGGGGGGCGCAGCCCTCACTCAGAGGGCAAGGGGGGGCGCAGCCCTCACTCAAACGGTGGAGGGGCGCAGCCCTCACCCAGAGGGTGGGGGGATGCAGTCCTCATCCAGAGTGGGGGATGAAGCCCACCCAGAGAGGGGGACACAGCTGTCACCCAGAGGGTGAGGGGGGAATGCAGCCCATACCTAGAGGGCAGGGCTGGAACATAGCCCTCACCTAGAGGGGGCACACAATCCTCACCCACAGAGGGGGAACGAAGCGCTCACCAAGAGCGGAGGATGCAGCCCTCACCCAGAGGGCAGGGGTGGGGAACCAGGGCTCACTCAGAGAGGGGAGGACACAGGGCTTGCCCAGAGGCGGGCTGGCTGGACCTCCACTCCTAAGACGACCACTCCCCGCACTGCGTCGTCCCTAGGGGCCACACACAGCTCTGACTACAGCATGTGGAAGAAGAACGAGTACGTCAGTAACGGTCTGCGGGACTTCGCTGAGCGAGGAGAGGCCTGGGCCTTGATGGAGGAGATCGAGGCTGCCGGCGAGAAGATCCAGAGTGTACACGGGGTCTTCTCGGCCCCCGCCATCCCCACAGGCACGGGGCAGACCTCTGCCGAGCTGGAGGTGCATGCCAGGCACTCGCTGGTGAGGACGGCACGGTCATGCCTCATGCTGTGGGAATGGGGAGGCGCTGCAGGGGCCAGGGGGTGGGAGGGACCTCATTCAGGTGCCTCCAGGTGGGCGTGAGGCAGAGCCGAGGCACGGCCTCCCTGCCCAGTGGTCATCCGGCTCAGTGTGCCATCCGTCTGCGCTGCCCCAGGTCTCCTTCGTGGTGCGCATCGTGCCCAGCCCCGACTGGTTTGTGGGTGTCGACAGCCTGGACCTCTGTGAGGGTGATCACTGGAAGGACCAGGTCTCCGTGGACCTGTTTCCCTATGATGCCGGCACAGACAGTGGCTTCACCTTCTCTTCCCCCAACTTTGCGACCATCCCTCAGGACACAGTGACTGAGGTGAGTGGGGCAGCCAACCACCCCTCGCCCTAGAATCCACTGCACATGGGCGAGGAGGCACCCCTCTGCCCTGGGCACTGGCTCTGCACCCTCAGGGCAGGGTAGGGAGAAGGTGAACCAGGCCTGCCGTGTCCACACTGCCGGGGACACTGCCCGTCGGGCTAAGGACCCTGAGCTGGTCAACTCTGTTAACAGTGCTCTCTGGCCGCTCCGCCATCTGCCTGTGGGTTCAGAAGACACTCCTGTTTCTAGCGCCTCTGATGAACGGGTATGGGGGGGCACGGTCCTGGGGAGTGGGAACTGGTAGTTCTGGGGGAAGAGTGCGGGGAAGTGGCTTCGCACCAACCTCCCCTGCAGGTCTTGAGGTGGTCACGGCCCTGGACGGGTCTCGGTTCCCAGGAGCCCCCATTCCGTGGGGCTGCTGAGAAGGTGAAGGTGCGTGGCGGATGAGCCTCATCACTGCTGTGCAGTCTGTGCGCCCGCCCGGTGGGACACTGTGTCAGGGTGGGCCTGAGGATTGGGGTGGGCCCAGCTTCGGGTCTGCCAGCCCTGTGGACCTGGCCCCCGGGGCTCCTGCACCTGGGAGCCTGCAGGCACTTGCAGGTGGGCTCTGGGGTTCCCGCACCAACTTCTCCTCTTCTTCTCATCCCAGATAACGTCCTCCTTCCCAAGTCACCCAGCAAACTCCTTCTATTACCCGAGGCTGAAGTCCCTGCCCCCAATGGCCAGAGTGAGCCTGGTGCGGCTGCGGCACAGCACCAGGGCCTTCGTCCCGCCCACCCCGGACCTGGTCAGCAGGGGCAACGAGATCCTCAACATCCTCTCAGGTAACGCGCACAGTGGGTGGGCATCTCCTGTGAGGACACTGATACGTAAGCAGAGAGGAGCAGGGTGTCAGCTTTGAGCACCCACCTTGGCCCACCCCTCTCTCCCTCCAATTAAGACTCGGGATTTCCGGTGAGGCTGTGCCCAGGGCTCAGGCTAGAGTGAAGGTTCTTGGGGAACTGTGGGGCTCACTCTCTGGCCTCCTATGTGCCGGGGCCTCTGGGTGCCCTGAGGCACCTGTGTTGACAGGGCTCTGTGACAGGGCCAATTACTGTACCCTGCTGTAAGGCACCTCACAGCATGAATCACTCGTCATCCCTAAAGTAATCCTTAGCAGCATTATTATCGCCACTGAAGAGAAACTGATGTTCAAAGAGGTAAACACCATGTCCAAGATGTCACGTTTGCCGGTGGGAGGTGAGCCCTCATGATGGAAATATGGCGTCCGAGTGCCGACCCCTGGGGTGGGGCAGGGAGCCAGCTAAACTAGGTGACTTGCCAAGTCCATGGACTTAAGACGGGTCACCCTCATATCCAGGAGCCCTGGTTGTGCAATGGTTAAGCGTCGGACTGCTAATTGAAAGGTTGGCGTTTCGAACCTACCCAGCAGCTCCGCAGGAGAAAGGCATGGCGATCTTCTCCCGTAAGGATTACAGCCTAGAAAACCCTATGAGGGAGGCAGCTCTACTCTGTCACATGGGGTAGTCATGAGTTGGGGGCTACTGAACAGCACCTAACAGCCACCACCAGCCCCCTTACTCGGCCCCACTGTGTGATGAGGAAAATGAAGCAGGAGCCCCACAAGGCGCTCTGGGCTGAAGACCTGGGCAACGATGCCCATGGATTCTTCTAAAGCAGGGTTCCCCGATGGGAAACCAGGCTCCCCCAGGCGTGAGCTGCCCGAGGCAGACGTGCCAGCAAGGGTGCGAGGTAGGTATTAACCTCAGGAGGGTTGACCAGGAGAGCGCTGACCCTCTGCTGCCCAGATGCCTGGAGCCACAAACCACTCCTCAGGCCCCATTGGGTTCACAGGAGCCTGAGTCTCTTTAAGCAATTTCAGAATCAGGGGATTCATAGCATCCATTAACATAATTCTAAAAGATATTTGCTGTTTGGGTGATTAAACCCTGAAGTGAATAGTTCAACTCTTCCACAATAGTTGCAAATGGAATCATTGCGCACAGAGATACTGTCAGAAGTGAACAGTGACCGCAGTCTCGAGACAGCCTTTGAGACGGCGTGGCCCCATCAGAGACGTACCGCGTGGGACTCGGTGTCCCCGCTGCCAGGGAAGGATGGGAACACTCTGCATGGAGGCCATTCGTGCTGCACTGGCCAGTGGGCAGCGGCATTGGTGGGACAGAACCTGGGCTTCAGGGTCTGGACGTGGGCCGGGTCTTGCATGCCGGCTCCTGTGGAAAGTCTCTGGGCGTCACTCCAACAGCGGTGACCTTTCCTGCTGACGGTGCACCTGAGGCAGGGCGAGCAGCCTCGAGCGTCCGGCTGAACCCCTTCATGAGCACCGTCGGAGGCTGTGCGCCGGCAGCCTGCTGTATGCAGGGCTGGGTACGGTGGCTCTGGCACTGCACGGCTGCCCAGTGAAGGCCCGTTTGCCCGCCGCGCTCCCACCAGCAGCTCCTGGAATGCCCCCACATCCCGGGACACGGCCCCTGACGCTGGGCACCTAAGGCAGACTGGAGAGACCGAGAGCACTTTGAGGACCGAGTCTGCCGCTCAGGGTGACCTCGCAATGCACCCCCACTGGAGGGCAGGAGTAGCTGCACGTCCACACCACCTAAGGGCCCCCAACGAAAGAGGACTTCATCCAGCTGGTTGCATAGGGCATTGGACATTAAAGCAACAGGTATCTCTTGTGGAAGAGCTGGGTTGGACCCACAACGGAAGAGCCTCATTAGCGGTGGGCCCAATCCTCCTTGTTCTTGCTACCCACAGCAGACCCTGCTCCCTTCAAGGGCTGGAGTTTAGGGAGGGCTCAGGGGACCATCTCAGACACCTGGGGGCCTCTCAGGCAGACCTCCACCCTGCTCGCAGGGTCGGCCAGGGTCAGCTCAGCTCGGCCCGGGAGGACAGTGAGACCACCTCAGGAGGCAGCGCTGCCTGGCCGAGGGCAATGTGCACCTGTCCCTCATCCTGAGAGGCGCTGGCCTCCTGTGGGCCCACTACTGGCCATGAGCTCACAGCTACATGGTTCCGGGCTCTCGGCCTGCGCTCTGGTTTGCCTGTGTAAGGCACGTTCCCCATGAGCGCGGGCAAGAGTCATTTGTTCAGGCGACGGCAGTGACTCAGGACCAGCAGCGAGCCAGGCATCATGCCGGAGCCAGAGAACCAGACACATGAGCTGTGGTCCGCACCCTTGGGGAACGCGCAGCCTGGCAGGAAGACCAACTCAGCCCTTACCGTTAGAACAGGTGTGGCGTCTGCCCCTGCAGGCGAGGGCAGGCCGCGGTAGCGCACAGGAGGGGGTGGTCGACTCTCCTTGGCGGGAGAGAAAGGCGAAGTCAGACGTGCCACGCGGGGCTGGGAGAACCAGGCGGTTCTGACAGCAGATGGGGCGTGCCAGAAGGAAGGTCGCGCGCGTATGGAGACGGAGCAGGCAGCGGTGCAGGGTGTGTGCGCCCAGGGCTCTCTGTCGGGTAGGAGGTGGCTGGAGCTTGGTCAGGAAGCCTGGTGGAGCCCAGCCGTACAGGGAAGGTGCAGTGTAATCAGCACATAGAGATCCCCCCAGAGATGTCCCCAGATAGGACAGGACTGCATCCACCCTCCACTCAGCACCCAAGGGACTTGGGAAGAATGC